CCCCGCCGGGTAGGAAACGGCTGCAGGTTAGAGATGGCAGCGGCCGGGACACTGCTGCACCCACCCGCGGGGACGGCAGGACGCAGCCGGCCCGTGGTTTGGGGTCACCAGGCCCACAGGGTGCCCGGAGCGGGGACAGGCATCGCGGCACAGCCCATCCCGTCTCCGGCAGGGAAGGGGCTGGGCTCTCATCACACCCAGCGCGAGCCCCCCTGGGATGGGGAAGCAGAGCCCAGCCAGCCGCAGGGACCCGTTTGGCCGGTGATTTGCCTCCACACGCCATTTGTCCCCCCGGCCGCAGGGCGTGTGTGAGCTCACGCCTCTCTGGCTCTCCTCCATACCCAGCACCTCCTCCATCCCCGGCACAGGCTGCGGCTGAGCTCTTGGCTGCGGAGCCTCCGCGGTGCCGGCAAACGAGCCAGGTCCCAGCGGGACAGCCACGGCGGCGGCGTTCGGCTGTGCCACGGCCCTGACCCCCGACACAGGATAACCATCTGCACACCTCTGCTTTGTCCCCAGCGAATGAGTGACAGGAAAGCAAAGAAACGCAGACTCGCTTTTCTTTCGACATCGGCATCTCCTGCCAGGCGTCCCCACGCTGCAGGACCCCCTTGCTCCCAGCCAGGGTGGTGACGTCGCTCAGAGCCGGTTCTGCTTTCCTCACGTACCCCTGACTCCTTTCCTCTTGCACCACGGTGGGTGCAGAAGAGCAGACCAGGATGGAGCTGGGCTCTCCCAGAGCATCCTTCCCGCGGCAGGACCACTGCCCCGAGCGCAGGGGAACGGCAGGCTCAGCTCCCCGCACTTGTGCCCAGACTCCTGCCCCTCTGCAGTGAGCCCCTGAGGACACGGGGCAACCCACAGGGCTCTCTGGCCTCGCTGTGCACCCTGCTTCCGGGGCAGATGCAATCCTGACATTGAAAGAAGTACCAGTTCTACTGGGAATGTACCAGCAGCACAAAACAACAAACCTTCAGGGATAGCACGTTCCCCAGGGGCAGCCATTGCAGGCTGAACTGGGGGTTTATCGATTTTTTTTTTAAATCTTTTTTCTTTTTTTTTTTTTTTTTTTTTTTTTTTCTTTTTCTTTCTCCCTTCCTCCCCTCTGCTTTAGGAACTTTAATTCTCTGTCTCCCCTCCAAGGAAATGTCCTGGTATTGCAACACGCCATCAGTAACGTTGCTGTGAGCTTACTTATGCAAACACCAAAGCCAAACAAGCTGATGATTTTTACCTCCCTTGCTTACAAATTTAATTCCTCCTTTCAGCTCTCAGACACGTTTGCAGATGTCTCATCTCGTCCCCCTCCCGCTCTCCCAGCAATTTCCCTTCCCTGGGCAAGGAGTTCTGAGTCTGCCAGCAGCCCTGGGGACCTGGGACTTGCTTGGACTCCACTGCTGGAGAAGCAGCAGGTGCTCGACTGATTTATACAACAGCATTTCACTGTGAAACGGCTGCCCTCAGGAAAGGCAGGGAACAGACTGCACTAGGAAAAAAATAAATCTTTGCAAACATCCGTCTGAAGGCCACTGAACACAGGTACAACACATCGCAAGCAACAGGCAGGCGCCGTGGCAGCCGTGCAGCTGGACTCGGAACAGCCCTGGGGACACGGTGGAAGCTGGAGAGATCAGAGACCAAGTGATCTGCCAAGGTCACCAAGAAGCTCACAAAAGTGCAGGGAGCAGAAGGAAAAAAAACCCAAACTGTATTTTTGTGCCCGTCCTGCCATCATGCCCCATCCCCAGGGCTCACCTGGAAGGCTGCGGCAGTTGCCTTGTCCCAGCACGGAAAGGCTGGTGGCTGGGACCTGCTCCCCCGCTCACGGGCCTGTCCCCCCACCCCGGGGCCCAGGAGCCCACCTTACCTCCTGGAAGGAGGTTTGCTCTCTGTTCCCCACACCAGCCAGGCTCGGGGCCGTTCTCGCTGCCAGCAGTGATGCTACGGTGACTCTTGCATGCCAGGGCTTCCTCTGCCGCTGTAAAGTCACGAAACTGCTCCCTGGAAGCGTGCCATCCCTTTGACAGCTCTGCAGGGAGAGTCAATCTCTGACCAGATCAACTGATAAGAGTCAGAAAGGAAAACTAACCAGTTTCCAGGCCCACAAGCGTTTTCCACTGTGCAGTACAGCTCATCCCCAGCAAGCATCCTTCATCACCAGTCTGACACGCAGCCAGGACCCCGCAGCCTGCCCTGCAGCACCCACCGCACCCAGCCCACTGCCTGGAGGGGCACGCTCCGGCTCCCCGCTCGAAAGCAAACCCACAGACGTAGCAGTTGGTCTTTCAGATTGTGTTTCCAGCTTACAGTTTGGATGTATACAACATTTGCGATTGCTACCAGTCCTCACCACCCTTCTGCACATTTCTGGAAAAAACAGTAATAAAATTCCTAGGCCTACAGACAAGGATCTCACAATGAGGAAAATCAGTGCACTAATGAGAGTGGAGTATCAACATTTCAATGTTATCTCAAGCATTTCTTTCCTGGTATTAAAAACACACTTTTAAATTCCAAACAAGAACCTTTTCCTGTTCTTGCTCCACTCTAAACACGTAACAATGCAATTGCTGTCAG